AAAATTTAAATTAGATTAAGATACCCTTTGTCATAAATCCTACAGTAGTTACTATAGTTCCCGCTTCATGACAACAGGCTGCGAAAGGACTTGCTAATCTATTACTGGAATGTCCGCTTTTGCACAGAGAGGGTATGATTTGTTTTGCTGTTCGTATTCTTAATCCACAAACAAGCTAAAAATTGACAATTTCAAGAATGACAGAAGATTGAAGATTATTTTAAAATGAAACCTGTCCTTTTTCCACATTTTTGTTTATCAGATTCACGTGCATAACCCGCCCGATTTTGAAGACGGATTATTATCTAATACTACATACAAGAGCATCACTTAAATTGCTTATATATTCGTTAGAAATTGTCTGAAAACCTCTAATGTCAGTTATCTTAAAAGTAGTGGGGAGAATGATTGGGAAATCGAGAAATACGTGAATTTGCTATGTAACATACTTAGAGAAAGATGAATAAGGAAAGAGAGGTTCAATAAGGAAGCATGGTAGATGCATTACAGATGCCTCAAAAGCGGTGGAAGGAGTGGAACAGAGGTTGGAGCAGGGATATGCACCATCATTCTTGCACAAGAGACAAACGATGAAATGTGTGGAAGGGAACTCACTAACAGTAACTGTGTTCGTGAGCGCATTACCGCCGCCAAAGGTGGGGGTGGTTCATGAGCGATGTTTGCCGAGCACTTTAATGATTCATTGGGATTCGTCTTTAGATAACTGTCTATCATAACAACGACCTCGTCGTTTGTGCTAATCAACTTGAGCCTGTTCGCGCAGAGCAACCGAATCTGTACAGCTTCGCCTTCATTATTGATCAAGTGCATCCGGAAGATAGCGGAAAAATCATGTTCAATGCTACAAATCCATGGGGATCCGACGAATGCACCACCTATTTGGAAATTGCTGATAATGTGAAGCGAAGTAATAATTCTAAAATACATTATATTTCTTTTTTTTTCTTCAAAAACAGCTTGTCCTATGGCGCTGAATTATTTTTTTCATCAGAGTTCTCCAAATTTGATACCAATACATTATTCGAGCGTGAGTTTGAAGCAGCAGAAGTTATTTGGTCCGTTACCGATGTCACCGTTGCTGAAGGAGGAACAGCTTGGTAGGTTTTTATTCTCAAATAGATTTTTCCTCATTAATTCCAATACTGATGTTTAGGCTATACGGAAAATTGTGCGGATATCCTGTCCCAGAACTAATTTGGTTAAAAAATGGTGTTGAGTTAAATTTGACGTCTCCAGCAGGGAAATATCAAGCAGAGCTCAAAAGTGGTGAGTTCCTTCTACTACTCCCTCGGTATAATAACTTTATATTCGCGAATTATGTCAGTTAATAATTGTAAAAACTACTTTTCTTTGATCTTGCCCCAGTTTCTCCTCAATATCTTTTCACCTACATTCATCGTGACTTGTCTTTTTTTGAAGTAATTGGAAATTATTGAAATGGTGGTCACCTCTCTTCCGTCTTTGATTTATTAGAAACAAGATTTCATTTCGAATCACGCCACTTATTTCGTTCTTTATAATGAAACTTGTGAAATCAGCACAAAACTGCAGCTTCTCTGTAGTTTTTGATTCAATATTTTTGAAAGTTCAATTAACATTTGTTTTTCAAG